TTATAATATGATAATATACACTAAAACAAACACGAATATTATAAAACATCTGTAGAAACAATTTTTATTAACCAACTATAATTAAACACCATAGAAAAATACATTTGTCAAATAAAAAAAATACAGAGAACATTTGCACGTAACATTTACATATAGAAAATAGTTTTATAAAAAAAAAAAAAATTATCGTTTTGACTTAGGCTTATCAACCAGATGTGCCAGTTCCAGTTGTCTAACAAGTTGAATGTAGAGAAAAGTTTAACAATTGTTACTTTTTCTATTAGATCAATTTGTAAGCTTTTTGATGAGACTTGTAAGCTTTTTGATGAGACTATGTTATTGCAAAAAACAATATTGGATTTTTTTTATTTGAGAAAATTTTGTTAGAGGGCATCAATTAATTGATACGCTTTAGGCGCCATAGAAATTAAGATTGGCACTGAATACACTGTGATCGCTTCATTTTTTTTTTTTAACAAACACCGCACTGCTTCAGCAACAGAAAAAGATGAGAGTCCTGAATTTCCACTCCTTTCAGTTTTCCTCTAGTCATATATCTCCCCCTGGTGTATCACGTGAAGCGAATATTTCCCAATCTCTACTCGTTTAAGTTGACTAATCTATGTATATATCTTTTTAATTAATGTCTATAGACTTGCTGAGATCTTATTAGACTAAGAACATCTTTGACATGGATTTGCTTTTGTAAAATCATCTTATCTTTTCACCCAAACTAGCAAATGAAAAATAGCACTTTCTGCTTAGTAAATCTATGTATGGCAAATCATAAATGCTTAAAACAAGCGAATAACGATCATAGGTTTTTAGTGAACTGTTGGGAGGCAATTCTTCATGTTAAACATAACTAAAGTAAATTGTCCCTTCTATAATTATATACTTCCTTCTTGTATTTCCCGCTATCACTTTGTCTTTTTTTGTGCCACAATTCCCTTTTTTTAAATTCATTTCAAATCTCTTTTCAACCACTACAACTAAAACAATCAATCCTAATAAAAAAAGTTACGGAAATCTGGCTAAAGTTAACACATTAAAATACACTATCCTACCCTTTTTTTTGTGCGACTAAAAAAAACACTATCCTACAAAATATTAGAAATAGCAAACCCTGTAACAGTCAAGATTATGTCAAGGCGTGATCGAATTAGTTAAATCACGGCCTGCGATATTAGGGAGCCCGTGCCCCTGAGTAGGCAGAGTAACTGAGCTTAATTGGACCCAGAACACTTTTAAACCGCGGTCGTACTAATAACAATTATAAATGTATACTTCAATTCATCGTCAACAAAAAAAAAAAAAAAAAGTTTATTTTATTATTAAATTTCTTCGTAATGGAAACTAACAAGCATGTTTAAAAATGGAAGTCTTACAAAACAATTTTTAGAAACATAAAAATAGTTGTTGACTATATCTCAAACCAAGGAGTAATCTAAAAAATATATTTGAGGTCAATAGAGAATTATGATGTTGAAAAAGGGGTAGTATTTTCTAACAAAATGATCTAAATTTATTGAAGTCTCTAATCTTATATAATAAAGTTAGTTTTTTTAATCTCCATATAGACAAAAAATGACACTTATCATGATATCATTTGTTGAATGATATTTTTATTAGGTTTATTTTTGATTTGGGCTTGAATTTTTTATTTATTAAAATTTGTTAGGCTTTAATAATTTAAGATTATACAACTTTGTTATTAGAAGTTTTTATAGAAGAACTTATGTTAGATTTTTCAAAACTAACATAATTGATTTGAGTTATATATTGTTGTTTATGTTTGTAAAGTTAGTGTTATGGGTTTATATTGTTTTGTTTTTTTCTAATAATATAACAAATTTTTCTAAATATTTAACAACTTTTTAATATTTAACAAACCACCGTAACCTCAAAAGAACAAACTTTTGCATTGCCTTATTCACACTACCACATTTATACCAGTGAACAGATGTGAGAACATATCGTAACAACATATACCATTTTATATATTGTTTAGTAGTAGGAACATACTACTATTTGGCAAAAAGTTCTTATGTTAATTGTAGACAGTTATGTTTTTTTTTTTTTATCAAAAGGCAGTTATGTATTAAATATGTTAATTTGGTGGCCCATCTATTCTCAAATCACACTTTTTAACAAATCCTCTCGAGGTGTTTTTCTGTCTCGATTCATTAAACCTTTTATTATATTCTCGAATTTTTAATCGCTCGTGCATGTTTATGATTGAAATCAATTAAAGTGTTAGGGGAGTAAATAAAATAATACTAATAATTAATGGTCAAATCTTAATGGTTCGGTGAGAATTTTCTGAATCAAAATAGAATTGAGCCGTTGTGATAATCCAAAAACATTTTTCAAACAGTCCTATATTGTTAAGCACTCAGGCTGTATATACATATCCACACACAGAAATATCAGTTAAAGAGACTTAATAAATGTTTGGATTGTAGCAAAAAGGCTAAAAGCCATGAATCATGGACTTGCAGTCAATTTCACATTAAATTTATTTTGGATCTATTTGGGAATTCATTGCATGTTTGAATTTTCATTTTTCGTTTTCATAGATTTCAGAAAACAAAACAATGTGCGACATGTAGCCACAGAATAAATTTCGTTGTACCAACTTAGAATGTGATAAATTGCTTCAGGTAAGTTCAACAAGTAGAAACTTAACCAATCCAGAACGTTAAATATTACAAGTCTTTATCTTGAAGGGTCAATAACATCACCTTGACATATTCTAGTATAAGGTTCCGTAATTCATATGAGGCAAAGAGGTCCACTTTGTACGTAACCTCTAATTGATTTTAGGATTACGGCTTGGTTTGATTTTTAGTATGTTATACTTGCTTTTTCTCATCTTGGTCGGTTTTGTTGGAATTATTGCATATGTAGTTTTGTTGAATATCTAGCATCTAAATGATAGTACACATCCGAAAACAAGTATGAATGATACATTTCCAAGAAACGATGTTAAATAACATAAACATGCGAATTAAGTTATGCCTACTGCAAAACAAACGCAATGATTATAAAATTTTGTCTAGATAATTTTGTTTACTCTTTGCATAGTTTCATTATTATACAGAACATAGAAGAAAGAAACCCAGGGCGAGAGAAAAAACTGATAAAAAAGATAAATAAATAAATAAATAATTAGATCAAAACAAAGTCGGGGTTATGGTCAAGAAAATGACTGTGTACTACTAGTTACATACCCATTTGGCTATTTCGTCATCGACGACATTTTACGTACCACCTTCCCACTTTAAGCAACCTCCTACGTTTTTTTTCTTCCTCTTCTACTTTTGTTATTTTATTTTGAATTAACGTTTTGCGTAGTAATGTGGGATCCAAATTGCGTTGGGAGTGAAGAGAACGGATTTTAATTGAGACTTCTGACGGGATCACTTACGCCATGGCCCATGGCTAAGACCATATACTAATAGTCTCCCGACCAAATGGCTGATACCATGTGCTCATGGTCTTTGAATGTGAACTCACAATTTTTGTAAACGAAATAATGAATTATAAACAAAAAAAATTGCAGAACATTGCTGTTTAATTTGCTGGGTCAATATTTTTACACGTTTGGATATCCATCCATTGTAGTTTAGGGACCCTATACTTTACTGCAGTACTATGGACTATCCTTTTGTGATATTAGCAAACACTATGGTTGTTCAGTTTTTTTTTTTGTCAACAACATTATGGTATGAATATGAATTTTTAAGAGAAATATTATAGGAAAAGTCAACAAATCTTCTAAACAAAAAGAAAAACAAGAATTTCGAACCAGTAATTTGTAATGGGCTACCACTTAGGGGGAATCATTTTTGATTTGTTTTTCAATATGCAGCAGGATATCAGAGAAAAAAAAAGTAAAGGACAAACCGGAAAGAGGTAGAAGCATAGGGGCATGTGTAGTAATATCATTACAGTATTGTTTTAATTTGCGTGCATAGAATAGCTATACTAGAGAAGAACAAAAAGAGAAGGAATGAATTGGAAATTGACGAAAATGAAAAAAGGAAATTAGGGGAATGAAGTCAAAAGGTTGGTTTAGATACGTACGAACGACCATTAATACACTTTTATAATTATTGGGCAAGTGAATAAACAACACGAAAACCAAGGTGGAAAAGAGGAAAAATAAAATAAGAAATATAAAAACAAGGGAATGATGATCCTAAGGTCAAAGCTTAGCAGTTGGGCTATTTTCTTTTTTCTTTTTGGTTAATTATTTTAATTTGGTCTAGAAAAAAATAGTTTGACACCTATATGGAAATTCTTCATTTGGGATACTCCCAAATCCTTATAAGGTAATTTTTATAAGCAATTAGGGGACTGGACAAAACAAAAGCAATTATTCTGTTCCACAAAGTACCTCTTAATACATGGTGTTGGACTGCTGGTTGATATTGTAGTAGTTGTTATTGAAGAATTTTGTAAGTATTAAAAATTTCTCAAATACATATACTTGTATGTATATATAAATATTAGTAATAAGCATAAAATTACCAGAAACCCAATCCAAAGTAAATACTAATTTTCCAAAACAACATTTCTACAAGGAGTGGTCCATAGATTATACCAACCAAAATTCAAAAAGATTCCTGTAAAGCTATTTTCTACTAATACATGCAAAGTCAAATGTATGATAAATTTGTGTTGAATGAATTATATTCTGTTAGGTCAAAAACACATGTCACCTCAAACTATATAAAAGTATGACAACATTCCAGCTGGTTGCTAATTACAAAATTTAATATCCCATCCTTTTTCTTTCTATTTGGTCGACTAGAGGTTACTTATCATATCACAATTTCTAAGATTTTGATTTTTCTTTAGCCTTTGTTACACACACACACATAAATACTACTATAATACATAATCACATTATACAACCATATAAATACATACATATAAGCACGAGTTCTTCCAAAAAGAGACAAAAGGGAGTAGAAGGAAACAGAAACCTTTATCTTTTATAAAAACAGAAAAGTTTCGTCCTTATTAATCTTTAACCTTACTTCACTCGCAGAAGATCATAATTCCTCTTAGGGTTCTTGTTCTTCACCATCTCTCTTCTTCTTTTGCTTCTTCATTTTCAGAGAGATCCAAAGGAAAAAGATTAGGGTTTTCGTGGGTTCATATCTAAATGGGTAGGTGCGGAAGGAGCAGCGACGGAGGGATTAGTGGAGTTAGGCCGTACGTACGGTCTCCGGTTCCTCGCCTGAGATGGACGCCGGAGCTTCACCGGAGCTTCGTTCACGCCGTTGATTTGCTCGGTGGTCAATACAGTGAGTCTTATCAAAACCATCTAATAACTTTTGCTATTTTCTTTCAAAATATTTCGGTTCTCACACTTAATTTTGTAAAGTTAAAAGTATAAACTTTTTATATTTTGTTTGCAATATATAATCTTTTTTTTCTGTCAAATTTGCAATATATAATCATATTAGATCCATATCCATCATAGTCGTCTTATCTTGGAGAGTTAATGCTCGTATTTTTTTGGTTTTGAATGAAACAGAAGCAACTCCAAAACTTGTTCTTAAGATAATGGATGTGAAGGGACTAACTATTTCACACGTCAAGAGCCATCTCCAGGTCAAACCAAATGATAAAACATTTCATTTTTCTTCTTCTGTATTCTACTACGTTATACCGTCACACTGCTTTTCTTCATCTTAACTTTCAATAATTTGATATTTTTTGTTAAATTATATAATAATTTGGACATTTATATATTTGTTTATTTTTTTTTTATCATACCTCAGATGTATAGAGGATCCAGACCCACTCTTCTTGGAAGACTAGGTAATGAATTTCACATGTGTTTGGTTAAAGTAACACAGCAGTTTACAATTTTAAGTTTTAACACAAATGTATAAATTTTAGTCAAAAATCTTCAAAACTTAATGTATAGATTTAATTAAGTCTTACGAGACCATTGTCATAAATAAACATATGCTGGTGAAATATTTACTAAAACAAGGAAAAGAATTTGGCTATAGCCTTACAGGTAAATAGGTGCTTCTTTAATTTAATGGAACGAAAACGATTGGGTGAAGAGAATATTCATCATAGTCATATAAATAAATTTTGTTATATATTTTTGGGGGACAGAAGAGAGTTCTTCATCATCTTCAAGAAGAAGAAGAAGACAGGACAATGAAGATCAGCTTCATGACAACTTGTCTGAACACGCAAGGAATGATTGTCTTTTGGGTTTTCACTTTTTTAACTTCAGGTAATTTCATTTTATTTTTCTCTTTTTACTTTTGGAAGAAATGGAAAGAGAATATTAATTTGTTTCTGACAAGTGTTTTAATTTTATTCCAGAAAATAGGTGTGCTATCATACAATTTTGTTTGAATATGAATTGTCGAATTTCTATAATTTTCTGTTTTCTGTTTACTTTTTCTTTGTTTGGGGGGAGAAGAGAGCAGACTTCAGGAACTGATAATGATGACGGTGACTTTCTTAACATCATGAACATGGCGAGAACGAATACATTTGCAGGCAATGGCAGGTCCATCAAATTTCAGCCTCATCACTTTCTCGAGGTATTAAATATATATTTAATTCTAATTTTCGTAAATAGCCGTTACGAAGAGTAACATCATCATTAGTAAAAATATTTAAGACAAGATAAACACTTACTAAAACCATTGAACATTGCTATGGGTGAAAACTAGAGTAGGCATGGGACTAAGTACTGAGCTCTATATACATTCAATTATCGATGAATTATTTAGACTAGTAAGCACTAATTATTTAATTTATTGTTAAGCATTGTATGGATAAATAATTATCTTACAGAATAATAAAATCACTAGATGTTGGAAGCATTGGATCAGGTTAGGCTAGTTCATTGATTGGCAATCCTAGACATGTCTAAAGATTTTTCTTTTGTAATGTTGATTTATGTCGAGGAGTTCGTACAATTATTGAGAATACCGAATGTTATGTTTCACATTCTCAAATATATTTGACTCATAATAATGCAACTCATCAATCAACTTCCTCAAATAAATGGCTTGGTATTTATTTATTACTAGATGCTCTAAAAATTAAATAAATAAAACTAGGCACATTTTCTGATGTTTTCCTAGAGATATTTATTATGCTCCATCAAAAGTCAGTCAGTACGTACGCGACGTTCCTGCCTGAATCAATGTAGATTTTATAACACATTGTGAAGTTTCGCTCTTGTGAAATGCTATAAGTAAATAAGATTATTCTAATAAAACAACTAAAACTAACACTTAACAGAAACTAAGAACTTACATCTTTCGAACTGATTAGGCTCAGAGCATGAAGGGAAACATGAAAAACAAACACGAAAAAGAAGAAGAAGAACTATCCTTGTCTCTGTCGCTGAATCATCATCCTAATCATCAACAACGTTGGAGAAGCAATGCGTCATCGTCACTTAGTGAAGCCAGCGAAGCAGTCTCATCTCCTTTCACCTCCCGAGATTGTTTTGCTTCTTCGAAGATTGACCTTGATCTTAATCTTTCTTTTCCTTCTCTACTTCGTAGCTGAAGCTTTGTTTATTTGTTTTCATAATATTAGTGCAGCGAACATTCAAATTTGTTTGAAAACCTTTTAAAGTAGGCGTAATCTTTTAGCTAGGCTTTCTATCGTGGTGACACGGTCTTCGGATTACATTGGTTTTCACATGAATCACTTGGATTACACTTGTTCTTGTTTTTTTTTGTCGACTACATTGGTTCTTGTATGAATGAAAAATTAATGTTTCATCCGGTGATTAGTATGTGCGCGCCAAATTCTGTTGGTTTTATATATTCAAAAAAAGTTAATCGCATCGTTTAAATCTCTAAACGCGCCGTTTTATAGTGGGTTTGTGTGAGAGACGCATCTTCTCTATTAAAAGAGAAGTACCATTTACATCTACTACAAAAAAGTCATGTTGGACCATTTCATTAATATGATATATTTGATTATATATACTAATCAATCAAATATATATAATTGGAGGAATATTTTAATAATTAATAAGATATTAGTAATAAATTTGTTGAGAAAATATCTAACAAGATCTTACTAAGAAGTTTAAATATTTTTATAAAATATGCATTATTTAATTTCGTGATTAATATATATAAAGATCTATATTTTTGTTAATTAAAATAAAAATTTTTATATTTTATAATTTAGTTATATTCTAGATTATATTAAAATAAAATGCTATGTGAAATGAATATAAAATATATTAAATTGGTAAAAGGAAAATATTTTGTTTTAAAAATTTTCTTTTATTCAAATAAATAAATAAATATCGCTCCCTTTTAAAACATATTAAATTTTTTAAATCATAGAACATTTTTTTTACAAAAAATGTTAACATATATTTTGTAACTTACAACAAATACTTTATATAGTAAATTATATATAAATATTTTTTTATTTTAAAACTTACAACAATATATTATATAAAAATAATTAAAATTATACAATTATACAATATATAACAATAGAATATAAATCATATATATTTGAAAATTTTGTTATATTTTTATAAAATGAAAAAATACCCGCACGGATGTGCGGGTTCAAAATCTAGTTAGATTTATTTGACATTTCTTTTGCCTTGTGATGGAAGGAGTTAATTTTTTTCCGTGAAGCTTATTTTATGATTCGGTCTTACTTGAAGATGATGTGGAAAAGGATTGATCTCCTATGGTCTGTTCTTAAAATGGGATACAGTTTTGTTTTCATGGATGCAGATGTGATGTGGTTCAGGAATCTATTTCCACGGTTTTACAGGTATGCAGCGTATGCTTCAAGACTGAGATACCCAGGGTCTCAAGATCAAGATGTTCTTAGAGCACCTCCAACGCGGAGAACGTAGCTCTGTCTTCTAAAAAAATATATTAAAATATTAGTTTTTTTTTGTTTCTGTGCATTACCAAGCTGGAAAAATCCTAAGGGAAGGATTGATTTTAGATGAGTTACGTTACTGTATCACGGGTTCCATTACGTTACTGTGTCGCGGGCCTCACGATTAATTCCTCTTTATTTTTTTTTATTTTTTAAATAAAACGAAAAACAAAAAATAATAAAATAATTAAAACCAAAATTGGAAATCGTACTGGTCGAGAAACACGATTGCAGATGGTCTTAACTTTCTAAAGACAGAACCTCTTGTTTTCCTTGTTGGGTTAAAGATGAGGTTCTTGAACACTACTTATTTTACAATGCATTTGCATAGGATCAAGTCATTTTAAAGGTCCAAATTCAAAGTTCTATACACTTTTAGTTTATATTTAATCACACTAAATTTTATAGAAGTGTATACGTTAAGGGCCCAAATCTGGTTTATAAGTTGCATTTGTAACGTGGAATATGTAATTTTATGTGAATCTATCAAGAAATTTATTCATTTAATATGCCAATATTAATTATTTTTCTTTAAACTGTACAGTAAAATTTCTATAAATTAATAATGTTGGGATTTTGAAAATTTATTAATTTATAGATATATTAATTTACAAAAGTTTTCTTATTTAGATTTTTTTTTCTATTTTTCTATTTGATTTTAGTGTATGTATATTAATTAAAATTTTAGAAATTTGACTTTTATATTGTTTTATTATCTTATTTGGTGTATATTTTTATGTTTCATAGAACTGTTATGTGGTTTTTGATATAATTTAACTAAATATTATCAAAATATATTAGTATTTTTATTGTAAATATAAAACCAATAATATAATGTTAGATTGTACTTATATAAAATTATATATATATATATATATTATTAGTTTATGATTTTAATGGGACTATATATTTACATGAAAGTTTTAAAAATATTATTATCTTATTATTTTATCGATTTCTGTCATATTTTACCCCGGACCAAGTTAGGACCGATGAAATTTATTAATTTATAGAGATTATTAATTTATCGAGTATTAATTTATAGAGGTTTTACTGTATATAGCTTTTAGTTAAGTTTAAATTAATTCACATGATATATGCGACTTGAGTATGCTAACAGATTATATATATAATGTTGCATTCATGAAATTATTTTAAAATTCATATCTTAAGAAGACCAAATAATATAGTTACTTTCCAATAAAAATGTATAATAACGGAGCTGATTCAATGGGTTGAAGAAACCAAATCTTACTAAAGGAACTCAAGATTCCTATGACATAATTTAAAACAACTTAAAAATACTTATAGATAGTTATTCTTTTTTCTTTAATATGTAAAGATAGTCATACACTTCAATAGTTTAAAACGATTTTTTTAAACATTTCCAAATAGATTATTTGGATCTGGAAAACTTCATGGCAACATCCAAAGGAGGTTCATTACGACGACCACCACGACCATTAACGCTAAGAAAGTCCAAAGTTTGCCTATCAGCGAGATTGTCTTCTTACCGTGCCTCCGGATATAATGCTTCTTGATTCCGGTGAGGTCTCCGAGAGCACGTGACGGATCATGGTGGACGCACGTTGGCTCAGGACAAACATACACCTTCCTCCTTACTTCTTCCTCATCAAACTTTTGTTTCAGTGTCCATGGAAGGTTGTGCCCTCTCCTGTGAAGCAGTAGATTCTGCTCTCTCGGAAAATCTTTGTTGCATACTTCACATAGGAACCTGTGCCTCGCCATTATCTCCTTTGGAGACAGTGCTATCACTTCTGCATCTTCTTGTAAAAAAATGTTATATAATTACACAAGAGAGACAATGATATATAATTAATTGAATAAACTAATCTTCTTGTAAAAAAATGTTGAATAGAGCAGAAAAAAATCTAACAGTAAAAATATAATCAGGTCAAATGATGATAATCTTAATACTTTAATCATTGAGAATAACTACAAAAATAAATTACGTTGAACGTTAGTTGGAACACTTTATTTATAACAACATATCCTTATAAGCGGTATTTACTTGGGTTTCCTGGTTTGTTTCTTAGTCTCTTGGGTGGGAGAGAATAAAAGTTGAATAGAGCAGAAAAAAAATCTAACTATATAAAATATAATCAGATCAAATGATGATACTCTTAATACTTTAATTATCGAGAATAACTACAAAACTGAATTAAGTTGAACATTAGTTGGAACATTTTATTTATAACATGTTCTTATAAGAGGTATTTACTTGGTTTGTTTCTTAGTCTCTTGGGTGGTGGAGAAACGGAGTTGGGTTGTTGAATCATTGTCATCGCTGTCTCTTCACTGTCAAAGTTGTTTGCTCCGGTGGATGCGTCGACGAGGGAGAAAGTCTGAGTGGAGGATGATGAAATTGAGTTGTTGTACGGTGAAGACATCTTCTCAGGGTCTGGTTTTGAAAATTCTACAAAGATCCATCAGCAAACTAATTTAAAATTGAGAAAGAAAGTAAAAATAAAATATGATTCAGACTAAAACAAAGAAAATAATTAGAAGAACAACAAACCATAGAGATTGACTAACATGAAAAGGAAAAAAACACTAGAAGACATTTACGAGTAAAACAAATATATGATGACAAGAAAAAAGAGTAGAACAAATATATGTGTCCAAAGAGTTAGAATTCATTTGTAACTTTTTGATAGATGACATATAATAAGTTTTTTTTGTATCGTACTAGTCTTGAGATGCAAAGAAAGAAACCAAAAGTTCAGAAATAGAGAAAGAAATCAACTAGTGATGTTTATAATGTTTGAGCGTGAAGAAGATGAAGACGCCTTAGGCTAATTATATATATAAGTATACAAATCCACACCTAAAACAATCCTTTCTCTCTCTTTATTTGGTGCTATGCTTGTTGATAGTTATGAGTCTTGTGATATCTCAGATTCTCAATATATATAGCCATAGTACATTTTTCTTTTCCTTAGTATGATCTTTTTAATACATTAGTTGAAAGTTCAACACGTTTCAACTCTGTAACCGTCTAAACTAATTCATAGTAATTTTGACCATTGTTAATTAATTAAAAGTTTAACACGTTTCAACTCTGTAACCGTCCAAACCAATTTATAGTAATTTTGACCATTGTTAATTAGGTGTAGATATTTCATATAATAAAATATTATTATCTTCATTTTAATTTTTTTACAATTTATGTATTTAATTTTTTTCATACAATAATTAATTAACATATATATATATATTTAATTATTATGAAATCATATTAAATTCACTTTATTTTCATATTACATTATATTATCATTTTTGGTAAAAAATTTAATAAAATTGGATTTAAAATATTTGTTTAACTAATATTTCCAAACTATTTAAAAAGAAGTTTATTTTAATATATATATATATATTAAAAATCTTCCAGTTTATTTAAAACGTATCTCTTTGTTTTTAAATAGCCAGAACATTCACTATTTTTATATTTTTTCTACCTCAGAAAGTTGTACTTTAGATAATAAATATTACTAATTTGTTCAGTCATATAATATTAGTGTCATACTTTAACTATTCTAAATGTATCATTTGATATAATTTGTTAAAGATGATTAAAATGCAAGGTATATATTTGTTAAAGATGATTAAAATGCAAGGTATATATTTAAATACTCTCAAATTATTTAGTTGGAATAACTAAATTTTATCTAAATTAATCTAATTAAACTGTAAAAAAAATCTTTGACATTTAAAAATGATCTTTAATAAGAAAAAAAAAGTTTGATTAAAATAGTATATTATTAAATAAATATAATTCCTAAATTTTGTTAAACCAAAATACCAACAATTGCATTGAATACAATTTAACTTAGTTGTACAAGTGTGCTTCAGTTTGTGATAGTAATAAAGAGTATAAATTTAATTATTTTTCTCTCCATTTCAAAAATATTAACATTATAGAAAAAAACATTTGTTTCAAAAAATGTATTTTTTACATTTTAATGTATAATTTAATGAACAATTGTGGATTCCAAAAAAAATAATTATGTTTTTTAAAATTCTATTGGTTAAAAAATATAGGGAATTGTTATCTATAATAAATGATGCATTAGTAATAATTTTTTTATGTTTTTTATTAATATTTGTAAAAAAAAGCTAAAACATTTAATTTTTTGAAACAGATGGAGTACTATTTATGAGTCTTTTCATTAAAACATGAAAACTAATAATATCCTATTGTTACAGTACTTTATTTATATAATAAACATTATAGTAATCATTGAAATAAAATCTTATTTAACATGAAAAACTGTAAATATATGGATATAAATAATGATTTTCATTAAATAATTATATTCTTCATTTGTTCTTTATTACAATTATTGGACTAATTCAAAGTTAATATTTTTGAATTTTTGATAAAACCTAAGTAATATAATAATAAATATAATACCAATTCATCTGTAATTTTTATTACCAATTCTTTGTTAATGAATTGGTAATAAATATAATAAATAAATATTTATTACCATTTTTTTTCTTATTCATCACCTAACTAGTTCATTGTATATGTATTTTATATTTATTCTAAAAATTTACTACTAATATAAATATGTTATATTAAAGTAATCAAACTTTCAAGCTTATAGTGTATACTAATTCAAACCCCAATTTCTGGCTTTTGAGAAACAAAATGAAAGAAAATTGACCTTTTGGTCTTTCTTTTTTGTTGTGTAAAAATCCTTACTCTAACTAAAATATAGATATTTAAATAATTATTGAATCTAACAAAAGCATCATCATGACCATTTTAATCTAAAAATAGTTAACCAAACAAAGTTAATATACAGATGACTAAATCTTATTTAAATATCATAGTGACGATTTAATAGAAACATCATTAATCCAGTTAAATTAATTGAGATTGAAATAATATTGAATTTCCAGTATCATAAGAACCCAGAAAATACATTGTAAAGTTTCGAACTTATGAAATGCTATAACTAAATAAGATTGTTCTAATAAAACAACTGAATCTAACACTTACCTGAAACTAAGAACTTACATTTTTCAAGTTGATTAGGCTCAGAGCATGAAGAGAATCTTGGAAAAGGAACACGAAGAAGAAGAAAAACTATCTTTGTCTCTGTCGTTGAATCATCTTCCTAATCATCAACAACGTTGGAGAAGCAATGCTTTATCGTCACTTAGTGAAGCTTTGTTCGTTTGATTTTATAATATTAGTGCAGCGAATAAAATAGATAAGAAAGCTTGATCTTATTGATGTAAATCGTTAGGTATTTATACAAGGTATCAGAAAATATCAGATCCTATTTACAAGGGGATTAGCGTATGTAGATAACTACAAGCATATGTTAATGTATCCTAATGTATATATCCTTATCTCTATACCCCTGGTGAAAGATCTTGAATGGCCACCTTGGAAAGAAGATAAGTGAAAGTAGTAGATGGTAGAGGTTTGGTAAGAATGTCAGCAGGTTGTTCCTTAGTTGAAATGTGTTCTGTCGTTATCAACTTAGACTGGACAGCGTCACGAACAGCATGGCAATCCGATTCGATATGTTTGGTACGCTCATGAAAGACTGGATTAGCAGCGATGTAAATGGCTGATTTAGTGCTGTCACAGTGTAGTCGCATTGGAGAAGTATGATTGATACCGAAATTGAGGAGAAGTTTCTTTACCCACTTGAGTTCCTTTAAAGCATATGCCATTGACCTATATTCAGCTTCAGTGGAGGACATTGAGACTGTGTCTTGTTTCTTTGTTTTCCAGGAAATTGGAGAAGAGACTGTCTCTATAGCGAACATTCAGATTTGTTTGAAAACCTTTTAAAATAGGGAACGTAATCTTTTAGCTGAGAGACATTAAATTTGTACACGTTTCTTTTGCCTTGAGATGGAAGGAGTTGATTTTTTATGATTCAGTCTTACTTGAAGATGATGTTGACAAGGCTTGATCTCCTATGTACGGTCTGTTCTTGAAATGGGATACATTTTTGTTTTCACGGATGCTGATGTGATATGGTTCAGAAACCCGTTTCACCCGTTTCCACAGGTTGACTGGTATGCTTCAAGACTGAGATACCCAGGGTCTCATATAGATCAAGATGTTCTTAATTTTCTAAAGACAGAACCTCTTGTTTTCTGTGTTGGGTTGAAGATCAGGTTCTTGAACATGCTTATTTTAATTTGCATAGAATCCAGTAATTTTCAAGGCCCTAATGATAAATTACATTTCAATTTATACTAGATTTTGATCCTCCCTTTCAAGGCGCGGAATTGTTTTTGTTATAATCTAATAAAAAAATACCAAAGATGATATGCTATTTTTTATTATACAAATATTTTCATTACTATTATGCAATTCGGACATAGATTGTCAATTTCAAAATCAAAATGAGTTTCTTCTGCTATATAGCTAACTAAGGAATTTTTGAAAAGGATTATTGTGGTGATCAACAGTGATATGCGTTTTAACAGTGAATTTACTTTGTATATACATCTCAATTTAAAAATAAAATGATTATGACCTGTGTTTTTAGTTTCGAATTAATTTATGGCTGACAATTTATAATAAAACTGTACTTATCTACTAATTTTTTTTTAAAATTCATATTCATAATATGTGATCTTTACTAAAATTTTAATACGTTATATATTTGTTTGTCCAATTTAAAGTTATATGATAAATCATTTATTAAAAGCTTTTTCTGTTAAAAACATTTATTTTCTGTTTTATTGGAAATATAAAAATATTTTCGATTTTTATTTAAGAATTGTGAACTAAAAGTGACACTTATTTTGGAATGTGAAAAATAGAATTTAATAATATTATATATAGTATAACATATAATTTCAAAGCTATTCCCTTATTAGAAAAATTAATTTGTGTTGTGTTGTTCTTTTGTTTGAATTTCAAAGCTATTCCCTTATAATAATAATATATATTTAAACTACAAAAAGTAAAAAGCAAATTAAAGTCCAAAAAACATCCTTCGTACTATCACATGTACAAATTGAAAAAGAGACTATTTAATTCAAATCATATGTAAAACTATATTAGATAACTTTAAATTTATAAGATATTAATATTTGGTCATTTAATAAATATTATTTGTTCAAATCTTCTAAAGATCTCTTCAAGATATAGTATATAATTAAAATGTTTAATATTTAATATAGTTCAATGGCATTCACTTTTAATTGTTGAAAAAAATTAAGGGTTAATTCAAAATTATACTTTAGTTTCAATAGTATAGATTTAATCACACTATATTTTATAGAAGTGTATAAGTTAAGGGCCCAAATCTAGCTCATAACTTGTATTTCTAACGTGGACTATGTAATTTATATGAATCTATCAAAAAAATTATTCATTTCGTTAAATACTGTATTTAATTAGGTAGCTAGTGTTTTTGCTAACTTTAATTTTATTCAGATTATAAATGTGACATTGAGTATATATTTAATGTTGCATTCATGGAATTATATTAAAATTCATATCTTAACAAGACCAAATAATTGAATAATTACTTTACAATAAAAATGCTTAATTAAAGGAACTGACTCAATGGGTTGAAGAAACCAAATATTACTAAAGGAACTCTGTTTCAAGATTCCATGACATAATTATAAACAACTTAAAGAAATACTTAAAGATAGTTATTTTTTAAAAATATATATAGATAGTTATTCACTTCAATAATTTAAAACGATCTTCTCAAACTCCTCCATACGGATTATTTGGGTCTGAATACTTCATGTCAACGTCCAAAGGAGGTCCATTACGACCACTACCACGACCATTAACGCCAAGAAAGTCCAAAGTCTCCCTATCAGTGAGATTGTTTTCGAAACGATGGTCGAAAACGCTGCTACCGGGCCGGCCTTGAAGACCACTTGTCGCAGCTAGAGAGTTCATTTGAACTTGAAAGTTTCCATTACCACTGCCTCCAAAGTTATTAACGACCACATTTGCAGAAGGTGATGAGGAACTAAACCCTCCAAGTAGAGCAGAAGGAACGTTGTTATCAGCATGGTTGAACAGAGAAGGAACACCTGTCTGAGCATAGAGGTTCCTAGTGACAGTTTTGTCTTGAAAGTATCCGGGATTGAGCAAGTTGTTGTTATTGTTGTTGTTGTTGATCAGACCTTTCTGGTTCATTAGATTCTTGTCTTTCCTTGCCAACAGTCCTTGGTTCGAAGGGTATTGCATGGGGAAATTAGTAGGACCATGGTTAGGGTTTGTGGCCTGAGGTACGAAGTTTCCAAACGTTTCGGGCGATGAACGGTTCAGATTGTAACCTCTAGCTAGCGGGGTATAACCAGTGTTTGAGGTTTTACCAAAACGGTTGTGAGAGAGAGCAGAAGAAGCACCGCGGAAAAAGAATGGTCTGCCACCACCTCCACCAGCTGCAGCAGCTGTGATTTCCTTGTTGCTCACGGTAGGGCTTCTTGCTGACTCTTGTAATACATCACAGAATGCTCTATGAGTGTCGTAACTGTCTCTTCTGCAATAACACCCCAAAACCAAAAATGTAATTAACATAAGCTCAATATTATCAATTAACGTAATATAATATTTCAATTTGGAATCACAAATTTTAATGGCTATAGACTTTAACATAATAACATGTATGGGTTAAACCAACACTTTTTTTCAATGTTTTCATCACACTATATAGTATAACCGATTCTTATTCAGTATGATTCATAATATGAACCAAACTATTAAAAAATTATCAAAAGGAAAAAAAATTTGAATGGACCAAAGAAATACAATATTGTATAGTTTACCTGGTGAAGGTTGTACCACAGTAACATCGATACTCTTTGGTACCACAAATCTTAGAGTGAGCTTTGAAATCAGATTCAACAGCATAACTCTTAGGACATTGCTCGCATTTAAATTTCTTCTCACCATGCTTCCGGCAATAATGCTTCTTGATTCCGGTGATGTCTCCGAGAGCACGTGACGGATCATGGTAGACGCACGTGGGCTCGGGACAAACATACACCTTCTTCCTTACTTCTTCGTCGGACTTTTGTTTCAGCGTCCATGGAAGGTTGTGTCCTCTCCTGTGAAGCTGTAGGTTCTGCTCTCTTGGAAACCTTTTGTTGCATACTTCACATGGGAACCTGTTCGTCGCCATTATCTCCTCTGGAGACAGTGCTATCACTTCAGCATCTGGACCTAATGGATCAACCACAACAAAAACATTACTCAAGAGAGACAATAATATACAAGTAAATTGAATGGACTAATCTTCTTGTAAAATATGTTGAATAGAGCAGAAAAAATCAAACAATATAAAATATAATCAGGTCAAATGATGATAATAATTTAATACTTGAGAATAACTACAAGAAATTGAATTAAGTTAAAAAGGTTGTTTGGACTTTGGAACACTTTATTTATAACAACATATGCTAGTAAGAGATACACTTACTTGGGTTTCCTGGTTTGTTTCTTAGTCTCTTGGGTGGTGGAGAAACGGAGTTGGGTTTTTGAATCATTGTCATCACCGTCTCTCCACTGTTAAAGTTGTTTTCTCCAGTGGATGCGCCGGAGAAACGGAAAGACAGAGCGGAGGATGATGAGATTGAGTTGTTGTACGATGAAGACATCTTCTCAGAGTCTGCTTTTTTTGCAAATTCTACAAAGATTCATTAGTAAAATAATGTAAAAATGAGAAAGAAGGTAGAAAAAAATATGATTCAGAATAAAACAAAAGCAAATAATTAGAAGAACAATAAACCATAGAGACTGCATACATAAAAGGAAAAAAAAAACATTGGAATACATTTACGAATATTACAAATATAAATTCAAAGGTTAGATTTCATATGTAACCTTTTGAAAGAAGACATAATAAGTTGTTTTCTATTGTACTACTAGTCTTAAGATGCAAAGAAAGAAACCAAGAAGAAAAGGTCACTGAATAGCTAAAGCTCGGAAACAAAGATTAAGCAAGTAGTGATGGTTATTATGATTGAAACAGAAGAAGAAGAACGCTTAGACAAATTATATATATATATATAAGCTGTATATAGAAAAGCACACCTAAACAATCCTATCTCTCTCTTTTTTTTTTTTGCTCAGCTCTTTAATAATTATGAGTCTTGTAATATCTCACAATATATAGCCATAGTTCATTACTCTTTTTCCAAAAAAAGTCTTTAATTTTAATGTTCAACACGTTTAGACTGTGTAACCGTTCAGTAATTAATTATAATAGACTACGGTTCAAACTAATCCCTTGTAATGTTGACCATTGTTAGTAGATATTTTTATAGTAAATTATTATTATTTTTATTTTTAAATTATTTTACAATTTATGTATTTGACTTTTTGGTCAAAAATAAGTATTAACATGTATTTTTGTTTAAATATAACATCATATTAAAATTCACTTTATTTTCATATTACATTATAAGATTAATTTTTACAAGAGAACTTAAATTTTTCTAATTTTTAATTTAGAATATTTGATTAAGTATTACTTCTAAACCATTTTAAAAAGAAGTTTATTGTATAAACTAAACTCTTTTCTTTCACTTCATTTAAATCGTATCTTTTTGTTTTTAAACAACCAAAATATGCACTATTTTTATATTTTTCCTACCTAAAAAAGTTATTTTGTAGATAGGATTGTTTTACAACTAAAACTAACACTTGACAGAAACTAAGAGCATGAAGAGCATCTTCGAAAACGGACACGAAAAAGAACAACTATCCTTCTCGCTGTCTTTGAATTATCCTCCTAATCATCAACAACGTTAGAGAAGCAATTCGTCATCGTCACTTAGTGAAGCCAGCGAAGTAGCCTCATCTCCTTTCACCTCAAGAGATAATTTTGCTTCTTCGAAGATTGATCTTTAATCTTAATCTCTCTTTTCCTTCTCTACTCCGTAGCTGACGCTTTGTTCGTTTGTTTTCATAATATTAGTGCAGCGAACATTCAAATTTATTTGGAAACCCTTTTGAAATAGGGGAAACCCTTTTAAAAACGTTATCTTTTGCTAGGCTTCTCTCGTGGTGACGCGATCTTCGGATTACATTGTTTCTTGTATGAATGAAAAATTAATGTTTCATTCGGTGATTAGTATGTGCGCGCCAAATGCTGTTGGTTTTATACATTCAAGAAAAAAGCAGTTAACTGCATCGTTTTGATCCCAAAAGGCATTGTTTAATATGAGAGGAGTTTGATGTTTTCCCGTGAAGCTTATTTTATGATTTGGTCTTACTTGAAGATGTTGTGAACAAGGATTGATCTCCTACGTACGCAGTGGCGGAGCCAGCCAAATGATTCATTATGGGCAATGTAAAGTTTGAACTTAAAATCATAGGGGCATTAGAAGGATTTTTAAGACTTAATCAAATATAAATTTGAAACTCAATAAAAATATTTTTTTTCCTATAATTCATATGGGGCAGCTGCCCCCCTTCCCCTCTATCTACCTCCGCCACTGTACGTACGGTGTGTTCTTGAAATGAGATACAGTTTTCTTTTTGGGGGTAAAATGTTAAATACTAGACCAAGTTTTCAATTTGAGACAATTTGGTACAATTTTGTTTTCATGGATGCTGATGTGATGTGATTCTGTTCCCACGGTTTAACAGGGCTTCAAGACTGAGATATCCGGGCATCATGATCAAGATGTTATTAACTTTCAAAAGACATAACCTCTTGTTTCGGTGTTGGGTTGAAGATAAGGTTCTTGAACAATGCCTATTTTAGAATGCATTGGCATACAATCGAGTAATTTTAAAGGTCAAATTTTAAACTTCATACACTTTAATTTGTATTTGTCTAAATTTTATAGAAGTGTATGAGTTAAGGACCCAAATCTAGTTCATAGCTTGCATTTGTAACGTGGGATGTGTAATTTATCTATCAAGAAATTAATTCATTTGTTATGCGATAATTTTATTTTGTTTAAATACTGTACATTAGGTGTTTGACGAGCAAATACAAACATAATCTTCTTATAAATATTTATTAGTGTCTGTTTTATTAATTAAAAATCAACAGATAAAGTATTATTTATGTTTTTAAGAAGTTAAAATCAAACATTAAATTATTTATATACGACAAATTTTTCATTAAAATATATATACTTGTTATTGTGTTGAATTTTGTAAAACACTCACATGCAAAACATATTTTAGAATATATTTTGTATATTACTTGATTAATATTTAACTATATCTTAATTTTATATAACAGAAAAATATTTTTTGAAAATACTAACACTATATGTAAAAAAATTCTTATTTTATACAAATCTAAAATATTATTTTAAGATAACAATACAATATATAAAAATTATCTTATTTTTTGAAATAGAATATTATTAATATAAAATTCGTTTTTAATTATATTATAAATTTAAATTTTGTTAAGTATATCATTGATTTTGACCACTCTAACTTTTATTGGAGAGATCGAATGCAAAAAATAAATATATATACTTATTATTATGTTGAATTTTTAAAAGACACTCACATACAAGAAATATTTTAGAATGTATTTTTATTCAAATATTTTTTTTGATTAATATTTATTTATATATATATATCTTAATTATGTATAATATAAAAATATTAATTCATGATAACAATGCAACAATATATAAGAATTATTTTATTTTATAGAAATCTAAATTATTATTTAAAGATAACAACACCATATATCAGAATTATCCTTATTTTTTAGAAATCTGATATTATTAATATTAATTTTTTAATTATATATTTAAATTTCATTACTGATATTATTGATTTAACTTTTCTAACTTTTAACGTGATACCTCGAATACGAAAAATAAATTCTCAAATAATAGTATAGATAGCTAATTTTTTGGCTAATTTAAATTAATTCAGATGATAAATGTGACTTGAGTATGCTAAAAGATTATATATAATGCTGCATTCACGGAATTATATTAAAATTCATATCTTAAACCAAATAATATTAGTTACTTTCCAGTAAAATTGGTTAACTAGCGGAACTGACTCAATGACATAATTAAAAAAAAACTTATAGAAATACTTTTTTTTTGAAACAAATATCTATAGAAATATTTATTGATAGTTATTCTTATATATAAAGATAGATAGTTATACTTCAATAGTTTAAAACGGTCTTCTCAAACATTTCCAAATGGATTATTTGGATCTGAAAACTTCATGTCAACGTCCAAAGAAGGTCCATTACGACCACCACGACCATATATGTTTCTCATGTTTCCTCCATTAAAGAGGTCCAAAGTCTGCCTAGCAGAGCGTCCCATGCTTAGATTGTTTCCGAAACGATGGTCGAAGTTGCTGCTACCGGGCCGGCCTTGATGATCGCTTGTCGCAGCTAGAGAGTTCATTTGACCTTGAAAGTTTCCATTATCGCTGCTTCCAAAGTTGTAAGCGGCCACACTTAAAGAAGGTGAAGAACTAAACCCTCTACGCAGAGCAGAAGGAACGTTGTTGTCAGCATTGTTGAAAAGAGAAGGAACACCTATCTGAGCAGAGAGGTTCTGAGTGTTGTCTTGAAAGTATCCAGGATTGAACAAGTTGTTGTTATGGTTGTTACTGTTGATCAGACCTTGCTGGTTCATGAGATTCTGGTCGATCCGTGCCATCAGTCCTTGGTTCGAAGGGTATTGCATGGGGAAATTAGTAGGACCATGGTTAGGGTTTGTTGACTGAGGAACGAAGTTTCCAAACGTCTCGGACGATGAACGGTTCAGATTGTAACCTCCAGCTAGCGGGGTATAACCAGTGTTTGAGTTATTACCAAAATGGTTGTGAGAGAGAGCAGAAGAAACACCGCCGTAAAACATAGGTCTGCCAACTCCTCCACCACCAGCTGCTGCTGCTGCCATTTCCGTGTAGCTCAAGGTAGGGTTTCTTGGTGGCTCTTGTAATAATGCACCACAAGATGCCCTATGTGTGTCGTAACTGTCTCTTCTGCAATAACACCCCCAAAAACAAAACAAACATGTTAATGGTTATAGACTAACATATTAACATGTTTGGGTTAAGCAACACGTTTTTAATGTTTTTATCACACTATATATAACCGATTCTTGCTCAATATCATAATATGAACAAAACTATCAAACATAAATTATCAAAAGGAAAAAAAGTTATAGAATGGAACCAAAGAAATATGATATAGTATAGTTTACCTAGTGTAGGTAGCACCACAGTCACATCGATACTCTTTGGTACCACATATCTTAGAGTGAGCTTTGAAATCAGATTCAACAGCATAACTCTTAGGACATTTCCCGCATTTGAACGTCTTCTCACCGTGCTTCCGGAAATAATGCTTCTTGATTCCGGTGAGGTCTCCGAGAGCACGTGACGGATCATGGTAGACGCACGTGGGCTCAGGACAAACATACACCTTCTTCCTTACATCTTCGTCATCAGACTTTTGTTTCAGAGACCATGGAAGACTGTGCCCTCTCCTGTGAAGCTGTAGATTCTGCTCTCTTGGAAACCCTTTGCTGCATACTGCACATATGTACTTGTTCGTCGCCGTTATCTCCTCTGGAGACAGTGCTATCACTTCAGCATCTGGACCTAATGAATCACCACAACAAAAACATTACCCAAGAGAGACAATTATATATATATAAGTAAACTGAATGGACTAATCTTCTTGTAAAAAAGAAGAAAATCCAACAATATAAAATATAATCAGGTGGAATGATGATAATATTAAACTTTGCTTATAGAGAATAACTACAAGAAAATGAATTAAGTTAAAAAGGTTATTTGGAACACTTTATTTATAACAACATATACTAATAAGAGGTATTTACTTGGGTTTCCTGGCTTGTTTCTTAGTTTCTTGGGTGGTGGAGAAAGGGAGTTAGGTTGTTGAATCATTGTCATCGCCGTTTCTTCACTGTTTAAGTTGTTTGCTACGGTGGATGAGCCGATCACGAGGGGGAAAGACTGAGTGGAGGATGATGAAATTGAGTTGGTGTAGGGTGAAGACATCTTCTCAGGGGTCTGTTTTTGCAAATTCTACAAAGATCTATTAGTAAAATAATTTGAAAATGAGAAAGAAGGTAAAAATAAAATATGATTTAGAATAAGAAAAAAGCAAATAATTAGAAGAACAACAAGCCATAGAAATTGACTAACATGAAAGGGAAAAAAACACTAGAAGACATTTATGAGTAGAACAAATATATGATGACAAAAAAAAATAGAACAAAGTTTGAAAGAAGACATATAATAATTCGTTTGTTATATCTACTCTATTAAAATAGAGTCATTTTTTTTATCTACTGATACAAGTTGTCATTTAAATTTGGACTCTTTCTACAGTGTTACAAATATGTAACATAAGCCATATAATTAATTAAACCACATTACTTAAATTAAACCGATGGTTATTTATGGGATATAGTATTGGGCTTACTTTTGTTTTTAAAACAAATTATATAGTTTGGTTTTGGGCTTAGTATTAAGGAAAAACTCCAAAACATTGAATAAACTTTCCACCTTAATAGATAAAAAAATCAATTATTATTTTTAAGCCCAAAAGATATTTAATATTTTCAACAAAAAAATTGTCTATTATTAATCATTTATTTAAATCATGTACTTTAAAAAATGTTAATGTATTTTTTATTTTAAATAACAATCACTTTATTTTGATAAATTTCAATGGTAACTTTTAAATAATTTATTGTTTTATTTTTCTTAAATAATTTACTGATTTAAAAAAAAATGTAAAGCAAAACCAAAAACCAAATCTAAAAACCAAAAGATGAAAACACAAGTTATATTTTTTTTTGCTTTTGTTTATCTACAAAATAAACTATTGCAAATTTTTTTGTCGTCTTTTCAGTTTTAAATTAGATGTTCGATTATTTACGATTTGTTTGTTGGTAATATCAGTTCAAACTAAATCAACGGGTATAAAAATTAAAAACACAAACCAAAAGCTGAAAATCAAAAGTAGAAACTTAAAAACTAAAAACCAAAAAACAAAATCTAAAAATAAAAACTGAAACTAAAAACTAATAAAAAACAACCATCACCACAAATTTTGGGGAATTGATTTTATACCAAAACATTCTTTAAGTTAAAACAAAACCCAATTATATGAATTTTTAATCATAAAAAAAATTCCGCGCTTTCAAGCGCGGGTCAAAATCTAGTTACTAGTCTTAAGATGCAAAGAAATCTGTCATGGGCTTAGACCCGGTGCGCTAGTCGATCACGCTTAGTGGTCGGATACTGGATTATCAAAAAAAAAGATGCAAAGAAAGAAACCAAAAGTTCAGAAACAGAGAAAGAACGTAACTAGTGAAGAAGAAGAAGCCTTAGGCTAATTATATATAAGTATACAAATCCATACCAAAAACAATGTTTTCTCTTTCTCTCTTTCTTTGTTGTGCTGCTCTTTGATTATGAGTCTTATAATATCTCAATATATATAGCTACAGTACATTTGTCTTTTTCCTTAATAAATTTTTTAATACATTAATTGGAGGTTCAACACGTTTCGTCTATGTAACCGTTCAGTAATTAATTATTAAAAACTACCATCCAAACTGATTCATAGTAATTTTGACCATTGTTAACAAACTATAGTAGATATTTCACATAGTAAAACATTATTATTTTTATATTAATTTGCTGAAGATTTCTGTATTTAACTTTTTGGTTATAAAATAATTAATTAACATATATTTTGTTTAAATTATTATAAATTAATATTAAAGTTCATTTTATTTTCATATTACAGTATATTATCATTTTTTAATAAAATCTTTAAAATTTTTGAATCTTGGATTTAGAATATTTGGTTAACTATTATTTCTAATCCATTTAAAAAGAAGAAGTATATTGGATATACTAAAAAAAAAAAATCTTTCATTTCATTTAAATCGTATCTCTTTGTTTTTAAACAACCAAAATATTCACTATTTTATAGTTTTTCTACCTCAGAAAGTTATACATTAGATAAAAAATATTACTAATTTTGTTCAGTCATATAATATTAATGTCCTACTTTAACTATTCAAAATGTATCATTTGATATAATTTGTTAAAGATGATTAAAGTGTGGGGTATATTTTAAACACTGCTCAAATTATTTAATTGGCATAACTAATTTTTATCTAAAATAATCTAATTAAACTGGACAAGGAAATCTTTGGTATTTAGAGATGATGCTTAATAAGAAAGAAAAAGTATGACTAAAATAGCATATTATTAAATAAATACAATCTTTTATTTTTGTTAAAACCAATTACCAGCAATTGCATTAAATACAATTAAACTTAGTTGTACAAGTGTGCTTCAGTTTGTGATGGTAATAAAGAATATCAACTCAATTATTACTATTTATGACTCTTTTCATTAAAAAGTGAATCCAGTAATATCCTATTGATTACAATGCTTTATTTATATAATAACATTAAAATACAATCTTATTTAACAAGAAAAACTGTGTATATATATATATATATATACATGGATATAAATAATGATTTTCATTAACTTAATTATATTCTTCATTTTACATGTGTTCTTTAGTATAATTATTGGATTAATTAAAAGTTAATATTTTTGAATTTTTGCTAAAACCTAAGTTATATAGTAACTATTCATTTGTAAAAGAAAATAGTTTCTTATTGCATCACCTAACTAGTTCATTTTATATATGTGTGTTGTATATTATTCTTAAAATTTACTAATAATATAAATATTTTTATATTAAAGTAATCAAAATTTTAAGCTTACAAGTGTCAAGCTTATAAGTGTACTGAATTGTATAACACTTTGATTTTATTTACGATAACGAAATTGCTTAATCATATACATCTATTATAGTGTATATTAATTTAAACCCCAATTCTGGCTCTTGAGAAACAAAATGAAAGGAAATTGACCTTTCGGTCTTTCTTTTTTCCTGTGTAATTTAACTAAATTATAGAGATTTAAATAATTGTTGAATCTAACAAAAGCATCATCATGACCATTTTAATCTAAAAATAGTTAACCCAACAAAGGTAATAGATGACTAAATCTCATTTATGCATCACAGTGACCAATTAGTAGAAACATCATTAATCCAATTAAATTAATTGAGATTTTAATAATATTAAATTTCCAATATCATAAAACCTAGAAAATTTTAAACCTGCAATAATCCGATGATGTATATATTTTTTAAATTCGTGGCAAATTAAATAACACAATTTTTCATTCTTCACAAGATCGAATTTTAAAAGAACTAATCTAATAAAACCTTAAAACAAAGCATCATAGGATAGTTTAATAGATATGATTTTGTCATTCCCATGTAGCAGAGATCATGGAATTGGCAACACCAGATTGCTCCAAGGTTAAGTTAGACTCATACTCCAACGTCTTTGATTCACCTGGAATCGCCTGTGTTAGCTTCAGTGGCTTCTTCCTCTCTGATTCCTCAAGCTGAGAATAGCAGAAAGACCAGAGTAGCTACAATGGAGACAACAATATATCTTAGAAAATCTCAGACAAATGAACAGAACACAACAGTCAAAATGTTTTTGTTTTCTTAGGATTTGCAGACCTGAATGGAGTCGGTTTTGAGGAAGTTCCTCTGGAGTCTCTGACCGTTTGGTAAACGGATACCGACTCTGCACTGAACGCTGCGGTCGCCTCCCTTTGGTTCTTCAGGCAGAGGTGGGAACGTTGGCAGCACAACAGTTGTTGTAACTGCTTCTACCGCTACTTCTTCATCAGGCGTTATTGCTGGTTTATCATCTGAAGACTCTTTCATGTCCTTGTCTTCCAAGGAAGCAGCCAATGCTCGTTGCAGCTCTTCCTCTTCTTCATTTTTTGAAACAACCTCTAAAGAAACAAGTAAGATTAAGGCATACCAAAATCTTAGGTACTTAAAGTTGCTGAAACTTTTTTTTTTGAAACTAAACCTTTGGGTTTGAGATGAGGAGCCAATGAGAAGCTGCCTCTTGGTCGTTTCTTTGAGAGAGAAGCAAAGTGTTCACGAGGACCACCGTCCATGAAGGGCACTAAATCCTCTAGCAAAGTCTCGGGTTCGACCATTCCAGACCACATTCTCATCTTCTGACCAGTTGTGGGATCAATCACAAGCACCACAGGAATGGATTCGAGTTTGTAGTATGTGCAAACTTTTCTTCCTTCCGTGGTATCATCATAGACCTTAGTACCGGTAAAAGGTAGGATTTTAACTAAATTCTGTAAAGATAATTTCGGTTTAAGTACAAGGGAAGTTTTGATACTGTACCTGCCAGAAGATGAAGTTGGCCTTGATAGTCTGAGAAACAGCTTCATTTGCCCAAGTATCTCGATTTAGCTTTGAGAAAGAAACACAACACATAAAGAAAAAAGAAAAGGTTCAGCACCCTTTAGATGTGACACCCAACAAAATGGAAATTATCGAGAGTAACCATGTGAGAGCTGAACTCCGTGGTAGATTGGAGGTTAACGAGAAGCCATTTATCCTGAGAACTAGACGTCGCTTTTGCCTGAAACAACAACAAAAAAAGAGAGGCATAAACAGAGGTCTAGAGAGTTAAGAAAGCAGAGAAGTAATTAGCAAACCAAGAAGCTTTTGTAGAGAACCTGTTCAAAAGAGCCATGTAACATAAGATGAAAAGGAGGACGATACAACGAGGCCAAGCTATCACGAGGAGCTGATGCTGTCTCTGGTGCAGAAGCTGAGCCAGAAGCAGAGGAAGCAGCACCCTCATCTGGCTCCCAAATTCCAGGGCTTTTAGGCTCTTCACTGAAGTTACGGAAAGCAATCAAAGAAGCTGGTGCACGCCCAGAGTTCCCCACCCTCGTAGCCCTAATCACAACCCCAAAGTAAATAGTCATTAAGATCCTAAGTAATGACATTTAGTAAGAAGGTGAAAAAGAAAAAAAGGAGACGAACCCATAATACATAGAGTCACCATAAAGAGTCTCCCTAACAACAGGTAAAGGAGCACGCACTTCATCATCTACATCGT